TCCGCGCTGCTCGGGGACCCGGGCTGGTGGGCGCGCCGGATGGGGCCGCGACCCTGACCCGCCGGCAGGCCGCATTGTGCCGGCACCAGGGGAGCCGAAGCTGCCGGCAGCCTTGCCCACGAGAGCTCCCCGCGGGGGGTACGCGGGACCCAGAGGTCGCGACAAGCCCCCTGGTCCGAGCCGGGGATCTTGGGTGGCGCGGAGACCCGGTGCGCCATGGGTCGGTAGCGCGGTGGGAAGAGCAAAGGGACCCTGGAAACCGACTGTGCTCGCGGCCCCGAGCCCTCCCGACGTCCACATGCAGACAGCGCAGGCCCGGCTCTGTGGCCCCCCAGACTGGTGCGGTGGCCTCCCGGCCTCTGAGCACCAAGAGGGTTGGAGGCGAGGTAACCTTGGTCTGGGACTTGGATGGTCTGGGTCTCACCCAGCCTGAGCCAGGAGTCCACCTAGGAGAAGTCTCCGGGGACCCCAGGCAGCCCTGCACCCTTGCCTCTGGGCTAGCACCCCCACACTGTTCTGCGACTGCACCCAGTTGGTGCTGCCTTTACACTCTGACAAAGGGAGATTATGGGGAGTTCGGAGAGCTGGTCTCACGTATTCATTCACGCAGGGTCTCCCTGTGCTGGTGTATTTTGGCCAGGCACTTGTCCTGGAATTCCTGAGGGTCTGAGCCAGAGCAGGTGCGGGAACTTGTATAGAGGACTTCCACTAGATACCACAAGTTGGGTGGCAGAGCAGAGCAGAGCAGGCCCATGTCACCTCTCAGTTTTGGCCTGCCCTGCAGCTCTGGTGTGGGCCTCTCCCGCTGCGGCAGCTTCAGGTAGCTCCAGGGTCCCTGGGCTCACAGCTGTGCAGCTGCAGCATCTCTGTCTCTATGTAGCATCTCAGGATCAGGACCCACTTAACTCACTATGACTCCAGTTAACCCCACTGATAGCATTGTCAAAGACCCTATTTCCAAACAGGGTCCCCCTGACAGCACAGGGTTTAGGGTTTCAGCATCTCATTTGGGGAAGATACAGTTCAATCCATCACGGCTTGGGAACTGGGGTTTCCCAACACACCCAGATCAAGTCCTGAAACCAGGGGTATATACCAGTCCCTCCTCTTGCATCTCCACTCACAAGACTCTGGGCATGTCCACTGCGACCCAGACCCACAACCCTCCACACAAGAAGGCTGTCTTTCTCTGGACGCCCCTACTTACCACATTGAGTTCCAGAATCAGCCTTCCCTAATGTCCCCCTGGACCCCATCAGATCCCCCCACTCCAACTGTGTTCTCTCACAGTCCCTGCCCTCCTTCCTCTGTCAAAGTCTCTCCAGGTGGTTAGGGTGGCTGGCTGCTCAGTTTCTTGAAGGTCTGGGGCATCTCTTGGCCACACAGTCCAAACTGTTGTTTACAAGATGGTTTCACATTTAACTCTTTTGACTGTCATCCCCACCACGCTGGCCCAAGCTGGGAGCTCTCAGAGACAGTGCCCCCCCACAGGACCAGCGGCTGGGGTCTGGAGGAAATGTTGGGGAGGGTCTTTGTAGACCTCAGGTCTATGAGGACTTGGCTGGAAGGGGGCTTGTCCGAAGCGTGGAAAGAGCACGCAGAACCGGTGCTGGCAGCAGTGGTGGCTCATTCTGCTTTGGCACAACTCCTCTTGGCTCGGGCTCCACCGGCAGGGCCAGGTTAGCCGCTGACCTCTTGACTGATGGAGGGCAGGGCAGGCCACTGTTAGCTGTGCTATCTGGGGACTCCAGTGAGCCTCCGAGAGCTCTGACCCCGAGGATCAGAACCAGTCTCTCACTTGGCCCCGGGACATAGGGCATCATTCACGCTGAACCTGGGGATCATTAGAGGATACCTGAGACTGTTTATTTCTCAGAAGGGTAGAGGTGAGTTGGGGAGGAAAGCTTAGCAGGGGTCAGGTGTGAAGAGCGGTCTCGGGCTGTGGCCCTGAAGGACCAGGCAATGTCACTGGCCGTCAAGTCGATGCTAACTCATCATCACCCTATAGGACAGGATAGAACTACCCCTGTGGGTTTCCAAGACTCGAACTCTTCTGGAGAAAGCTGCAGGTTTTGGATGGCTAACCTTGCAGTTGGCAGCCCAACTCACAACCACTACCCCACCAGGCTCCTTCAAAGGACCCTGAGAGTGGGGAGGCTATTAGCTGAGGGGAAGAATGCTCTGAATTAATCCCCATAATCCCTGGATCACGATTCAGCCCTCCCTACTAATCCCAGCGGATCATCCTTCCTTAGGATTGAGATAACCCTTTATCTCCCGTTACCCTTATTTCTCAGGGGCCCTGGTCGTTCCGTGGTTAAAGCGCTCCACTGCGAGCTGAAAGTTCGGCTGGTCACTAGCTGGGAGATGGACGCAATCTACGTCCGTGAAGACTACAGCCTTGGGGTGGTTCTCCTCTGACCGACAGGGTCGCTCTGAGTCAGACGTCCTAACGATCCCGTATGCTTGTAAGGTGTCGCTGTGTTTGACTGAGTCTTCCCAACAGCCCCGAGCAGTAAGTCGCATTTGCCCCATTTTGTCAAGGGGAAGCGGAGACTGCATTTTAAACTTAATCCTGGCTTTGGGACTTCGAGACCAGGGCATGCTGTAGCTGGGGTTTTATGTCAAGGA